TTCGCTCCATCAAATCGATATATCTATGTTAAGAGTTTATTTGTTCACATATATACATAGAATAAGTTTCCTCAATGTATCCTACCATTAAGTAAGCAAATTTGAGCATTGTTGATGAACCCATAAACCAAAGAAAAATATAAAGAAGATAGATAAGTATATGATAAAACCATGCTTCCTCTGCAAAAATTCCATTGTCATAGTTGACAAAATATTTCCATAAAAGATATCAAAACTTAATCTAAAGATGAAGGAAAATTTAAGAAGATTTAAATATAACTTCATTTTCAAACAAGATTTTCATTTCCATATAGCCTTTTGTTTTGTTCATTATGAGAATCTTTTCAAAAGCTTGTGATTTCAAATGACAGAGTAAAATGGAAATTTTGTCAACCAAAACAAGGAAATCTAAGTGGAGAAGCATAACTTGCAATTAACACAAAGTTAGAATTGTCTCCTACTAGTAACTCACACTTGAAATATTATGACAATCACAATTCCACTTGTGCTTCAAATAAATTGCAAGTTTATTCTAGTTCCCCGACCACCTAGCTTCCAAGTCTACTAGTAAAAGGATAAACTATAATTAATATATGCATTGAACAAATCAAAGCTTTACTTCCATGTAGACTTAAAATTAGTAGAACAATAGTCCAATACAATGCCCCAAGGAAAGCTAAATACAGCCATTCTTACAAATTGCTAAACCCAGACCTTAATACAATACACTACACTACTGATAAATGCTGCAATAGAGCAATCCATTCCTCTGAGTAGAACATTCTAATGTTCTTGAAACTTTCATAAATGAATAAGCATGACAGTGCTACAACTAATGAAAAAAGTCCACTGGAGGGTAGTGAAATGCTCACAGGAACCATAAAGATAATGCGAACGTATTTTCCATGATGTATATCATATGAACAACACTGTACAAATTATTGCAAAAAGAAGGTAGAGAAAACTTACTCCTATTGCATTCGCTTCCACCGTCATAGTAGTAAGGAGAGTAATTTTTGTATTTTCGCAAATTTGTAGTTGATTTTAGTGGGTATTGTAGTGAAGTTGATTAGATGTAAAGGAGGAGAAGAAGAAGACTTTAATTTCAAATGGAGAAGAAGAAGATTTCAAATGGAGAAGAAGGCTTTTACAGTGGAGAATAACGAGAGAAATTGGTAGATTTTGGAGTTAAAAAGTGAAGGGCAATTTTGTTATTTTACCAATTAAAATATTTTGAATTTTTCTTTTCCTTTTAATATGGGTCAAAGGCTATTTGTCCAATATTATAGCGTGGCCAGGCTATTTGGCCAAACTTCCCCATATATTGGTCATCAACTAGATGATTTTGAGTGATTTCTTTGTAAAATTGTTGTATCGAGAGAGGTGTATAGCAATACATAGTACTTTGTGAATGATTGCTGTAAAAGAGAGTTTAAGAGATTTGGGTTTCGTTTGAAATCTTTGCTGATTCTGTACTGTACTCGCATTTGCCCAGTTTTGGGGCTTTATAGTGGATTCGAGCAATATCTTTACGGATGCTCAACGTGAGATTAGGCGTTAGAAGCGGTCGTTGAACCTTCGGGGGCTTTTGGCCGAAAAATCTCGTGATATTGGTGTCTTTGAGTATTTTTCTTTACTATTTTTTACAAAATAAACTCAAACAGAGCGCTGATCTATTTATGTAGGACCAAAAAAGGTACATCTTGTGAAGTGGCTCTGCCACTCTAAAGTGAGCAAAACAAAATGATCGGTTACATTCACTTATAAATTGTTACTTCTTCTGCTCGATCATACTACTATCCGTACAAATTTTGATTCTCTAATTGTCTTTTAAGATATGAATCAAAGCTACTTGAAATTTCAGTCCATCTATTTGGTTTATTTCTTGTTTCTTTTGTTGCAGTCAACTTGATTATAAATTTTATGACAATGCTTGTCTCAACTTCCTTAAGATTGTCAGTTATGGTGTTTGGTCTGCTATAGCTAATGAAAGTAGAATGGCTGCCTCTATTCTACGCCTACATTTCCATGACTGTTTTGCTAATGTAATCCTATTACCTTGTTTTCTTCCACATGAATAATTTAGTAAATGTGTTCAAGGTGTCGTGTTATAATTCCATGATTATACTTTTCGTTTAATAAATTTCTCTACATTTGGTTATATAGAGCTGTGATAGAACTGTCTTGCTTGATGATACCAACACATTCACAGGGGAGACGAACACGTACCCTAATAAGGATTCGGCTGGAGGATTTGATATTATTGATGCAATAAAGGCAAATGTTGAGAAAGCTTGCCCGTCCAAAGTCTCTTGTGTTGTTATATTGACTCTTTCTGCCAGGGAATCTGCTTATCTGGTAAAAAAAAAACTATTCTTCACAGTGATAATGGAGTCTTGCTATGCACCAAGAACTTGCTTATCTCAAAAGTAATGGTACATGGTCTCTTCAGCTATTATCTCCAGGGAAAAATCCAATTGGATGCAAATGGGTATGGTACTATTGAGCACTATAACGCCAGATTGATAGCAAAAGGATACAACCAAGTTGAAGGTCTAGACTATCAAGAGACCTTTGTTCCAGTTGCAAAGCTTGTGGCAGTTCGTCTTCTCCTTGCTATGGCTTCAACTCAACACTGGCATCTTCATCAGATTGACGTCAATAATGCTTTCTTACATGGAGAACTTGATGAAGACGTACGTATCTTTACCTCTTGGATTCGGACGAAATGAGGAAACATAGGTTTGTTAACTTCACAAATCATTATATGGCCCCTCAAACAAGCTTCGCTTCAATGGTTCATTAAACTTTCTAATTCTCTGAAGGAAGCTCATTACAAGCAGTCAAATGCTGATTATTCATTGTTCGTCTGATCCCAGAATGGTAAATTTACCGCTCTTCTCATTTATGTAGATGATATCGTTTTAGCAGGAAACGATCTTCAAGATATTGAAGAGACCAAGCTATTCTTAGAAAATCAATTCAAGCTCAATGATCTTGGACATTTGAAGTACTTTCTAGAAATTGAGGTTGCATGGTCTAACAAGGGCATTACCCTTTCACAACGAAAATATCCTCTCGAGATTCTAGAAGATGTTGGATATCTGGTGTGAAACCAACTTCTTTTCCCATAGAACAAAACTTAACTCTTAGTAAGTCTGAAGGCGACTATATTAGTGATCCATCTTCATACGAAAGACTTGTTGGACGGTTAATTTATTTGACCATTACATGACCCGGCTTAACATATGTAGACCATGTTTTAAGTCAATTTATGAACAAGCCACAAATAACACATTTAGAAGTAGCCCATCGTGTCGTGCGATATGTGAACCAAACGCTAGGACAAGGAATATTTCTTCCTACAGAAAGTGCAATCCAATTGAATGCCTTTTGTGATGTAGATTGGGCAGGGTGTTGTGACATTCGTCGATCAGTTACGGGGTATTGTATCCTTCTAGGCAATTTATTAATTTCTTGGAAAACCAAGAAGCCGAATACCGATCATTGGCCGCAACTTCTTGTGAAATTACGTAGTTAAAAACAATTCTACAAGATTTGGGCATTGAACATTCATATCCAGTCAATCTATATTGTGACAACCAGGTAGCACTCTAGATTGCTTCAAACCCAGTATACCATGAACGCACAAAGCATATAGAAATTGACTGTCAACTCATACGAGAAAAAGTTCAAAAAGGAATGATCAAGACGACTCGTGCGCACATTAGACCAACTAGCTGATATTTTTACAACGCCATTGAGTTCTTCACAATTCTTGACACTACTCAACACGTTATGAATTATTAACATACATTCCAAACTTGGGAATATTGAATCAACGGTTGCGTAAAATCTAGGGTATTCTACTAATTTGGACAATCAACCATGATTTACTTCCCCATTCATTTTCATTTATTTAGGTACGGAAATAAACACACATATTGTCAATGATTTAGACAGACTACTGCCTTGTGTATATATTCTTAATGTCATCAGAAAGGAAATAGATAAATTCATTAACTTTTTCAAACATAAATAAGTTATCATACTAACTTTCACATGTGATAATGTATAAAATTTACATAAAAACTGATCGAGAATATGCAATAACATATTGGCCATTTTATGTTACGATGCGGTTTCTTTTTCGTTATTTTGTACTCAAGTATACAATCAATTAGCTCGTACAGGCCCAAAGAAAATAACTATAGGCATTGTACATACCATCACATGTATCAACCGCACATTTGCACTACGTTTCACTCAAGAGATGTTAAAAAACTCACTTTCATTCCTTTTACTTTTCAGATCATAATGACCAAAGGCTATGTCGAGTATCGTGAAGATAGTTTGGGCAGTAACAACTAATGATGTTCCATTGGATAATGAATATGGATAAGCGGTCGTATGATTTTGAAGATTGAGATCTTATGGTGTCAAGAGTTTACTTTTGTGTGCACCGTGCGCTGTGATAAGGTGGATCACAATGTGATATTATGGATCTTAGGATTGTCTAAAGTATTATGGTGACAACTACGTACGGTTTTTGTTAAAGACAGGAGAAGAAAACAGAAAGCGTAGTTGCATTTTTTTGTCCTTTTTAAGGATTGACAACAAGTTAAGATGTGATAGTTCTTCTCTTTATTTGAAGTGTTGTAGAAGTAGTGCAGTGACTTGCGTATATTATGTGAAATGCTTGATAAAAGTAATGTGTTTGGTATGAAACTGTGTTAAGTTATGCCATTGCAATAATTTTTTGTTAACAAGAATTTCTGGGGTGTATTTCGATAAAAGGGGCACTAACCTTTATTTTCAGGTAGATTAACATGTACAACGCGTATATTAACTCGCAGCGTTGAACTGATATCGCTGCAGCTCATTATGATTTTTCAAAAAGAAAAAGGAAAATCCCTTTAAAAAAAAAAAGATATGGGTCCACCGCACATATAATCAATACTTATGAATAACAATACTCATTTGTAGAGGATTAATTCGACTCAATCTGCACATTTTTAACCTACTTTAAAACCAAACGGTTTAAAACTCTTTGGAAAATTCCATTCAAAATCATGCCATTTTTTTGCGATTCTTTTGGGTTTAAAACCACAGCTTGCATAGGGAAACTAAAATAACATTTTTCCAAACAAATTAAACATCTATATAAAATCTTAATGCAAAGTCTAAATTATTACTTTCTAAACATAAGCGTTATAACGTATTAATTTCAATAGAAGTTTAAAAGCTAAATCAGTAAATATTAGAAAGTTAAACCATAAGTGTAACAATTTTCAAAACTGTAGTATATCTTGGGTAAAAACTGGTTTCAATGAAAAACAATTTATTAAACTTCTCAACATTAACCTGATTCCCTTTTTTATACGTTGTGGACTCATCACACTATTGAGCTCTTTAGCTATTCCATTCTACTCTCTATGAATTTTCATATTTTTTTTTTTTGAAAAAAAAAATGTGTTGAACATTACATAAAAAGAAGGGAAAATTTCATAATTAAGAGGTTAAGTATTGCCTATTTCAAAACTAAGAACAAATGTTTCAAATTTCAAAAATCAGATATTAATTAAAATTTATTTATGATTTAATTAATTAAATATATTGAGGTCACAAATTAACGATTTAATTAGTCACATATTATTTTTCGTCACAAATCAGAAATTTTGAATGTCACAAATTATTTTACTTTCACAATTCAAAAATTTTATATGTCACATTTTGTTCGTCGGTCACCAATCAAAAATTTATACGTCACAATTTATTTATCGGTCACAAATCACAAATATTATAAGTCACAACTTATCAGACATTCAAAAATTTTCAATCAGAGATTTCATATGTCACAAATTATTTTACAGTCAAAATTCAAAATTTTATTGGTCAAAATTTGTTCACCGATCACAAATGAAAAAATTATACGTCACAATTTATTTATCGGTCACAAATTACAAATATTATAAGTCACAACTTATCATACAATCATAAATTTTCAAATTATCGGTTACAAATTAAAAAAAAAATTAGGTCGTGCATTATTTGTTGGTCATAATTTATCTTTTTCATTGCTCACATATTGTTTATTGGTCAGAGATTAACCAATTTAATGGTCAAAATCAATCAAATAATTTGTGAACACAACCAACACTTGTGATCACCACATCACCACTTACCTCTACCAGCACCATCGCCATCGTCGCCACAAGAACCATCACATCTCGACAGCAACACCATCTCAAACAAATCAACACATCGTAGAAAAACACCACCAAGTCGTCGCGCCGATCCACCACTACCTCGACAGACCCATCGCCACCAACTTCTACTAGCAGCACCAATACCGTCTAGCCGCTGCACCGCCATCACCGAAACCACCGCCACCATCTCAAACAAACCAACACCACCACCAAATACCACCACTAGTTCACCATCGCTGCCACTACTTTAACCGTATCACCACACAATCGTTTCCACACAGAACACCACACATACACCATAGATCGTCCAATCACCGCTCGACATGGATCGGCCACCACCTGCACCAACAACCCACTGCCATCGCCGCCACCGTAATCGCAACCACACCACCACCACCACCACATCACACCAATTACGTTCAACACCACAACAAACAAGATGAAGAGAAAACAGAGGTAGATTAGAAATAAACCCAAATTTTCCCAAATCAACTAATTGGTCACAACCAACCATATAATTTGTGACACCACTGTCTCCAACGCCACTAGAACCACCACCAACACCTACCGGTAGCAACGCCGCCAACATAACCACTACCACTGATTCACAACCATCGTTATTGCAGTGACTACCGCTAGCACTACCACCATCACCTGCACCACCATCAACACAGCCTATCAACGTCATCACGATCCCACTCGCGACAGCCTCCTTAGAACCTCCCACAAACAACTCCGGTCAATTTCCTTGAGCCTGAAACATCAACGACACATTTCCATTCCCGGTTCAATTTCGTTCCTGACATCTTCAACCACTGTCACCATCAGATCCAACAAAACCACTCCGTCGCCATCTTTGTCGCCACCACCACGGCGCTGCGACCAACACCAACCAACCACCACAACCATGACACCACTACCACCTCCACGCCACCAAAACAAAACACAACAGACAAACCTAATTTCTCAAAAGCATCACATGTAACCGTTGTTGCAAAAAGCAGAGTCTCGATGCCGAGCTCTCGCTGTCGCAAATGGCAGCGCAATGTTATTGCGATAACCTGAAAATCGGGATAGTCAGATAGAGCACCGTCGGTAGAGAGAAGATAACTTCTCGCTTCTAGAAATCGAGAGAAGGAGAAGAGGATAGTGCCGCCGGTAAAGAGAAGGTATGGAGAAGAGGATAGAGGAAGAGAGTAAAGAGAGAAGACGGAATATGGATTTGAAATAAGGGTGGGGTGGATGTGGGGGTATATAAATTAATTTAATTTTATATAAATTATTAATATTTAAAATTTTGATTATCATCTAATTTTTGAAAAAAAAAAATTTACAAATCTTAATTTTGAAATGAAAAGTTTAAAATTCTGGTATGCTGTAATTTCCACTAAAAAGAAACCACTAATTTTTATTGTTTTATCAGGAAAGCTTTCAAAGTCCACAAAGTACTTTTGAAATAGGAGTTATGTTTCTCTCTTTACAACTTAGTTCTTGTAAAGTAGTTTAATTTGTTTTAATTGTGTAAATGGTTCAGTTTAGTTTCATAAAATCAAAAATTTATACTTCACAATTTATTTATCGGTCACAAATCACAAATATTATAAGTCACAACTTATCAGACAGTCACAAATTTTCAATCAGAGATTTCATATGTCACAAATTATTTTACGGTCAAAATTCAAAATTTTATTGGTCAAAATTTGTTCACCAATCACAAATGAAAAATTTATACGTCACAATTTATTTATCGGTTACAAATTACAAATATTATAAGTCATAACTTATCATACAATCATAAATTTTCAAATTATCGGTCACAAATAAAAAAAAAATATAGGTCGCGCATTATTTGTTGGTCATAATTTATCTTTTTCATTGCTCACATATTGTTTATTGGTCACAGATTAACCAATCTAATGGTCACAATCAATCAAATAATTTGTGAACACAACCAACGCTTGTGACCACCACATCACCACTTCCTCTACCAGCACCACCGCCATCGTCGCCACAAGAACCATCACATCTCGACAGCAACACCATCTCAAACAAATCAACACATCGCAGAAAAACACCACCAAGTCGTCGCGCCGATCCACCACTACCTCGACAGACGCATCGCCACCAACATCTACTAGCAGCACCAATACCGCCAGCACCGCCACCATCTAAACAAACCAACACCACCACCAAATACCACCACTAGTTCACCATCGCTGCCACTACTTTAACCGTACCACCACACAATCGTTTCCACACAGAACATCACACATACACCATAGATCGTCCAATCACCGCTCAGCACAGATGGCCCACCACCTGCACCAACAACTCACTGCCATCGCCGCTACCGTAATCGCAACCACACCACCACATCACACCAATTACGTTCAACACCACAACAAACAAGATGAAGAGAAAACAAAGGTAGATTAGAAATAAACCCAAATTTTCCCAAATCAACTAATTGGTCACAATCAACCATATAATTTGTGACACCACTGTCTCCAACGCCACTAGAACCACCACCAGCACCTACCGGCAGCAACGCCGCCAACATAACCACTACCACTGATTCACAACCATCGTGATTGCAGTGACTACCGCCAGCACTACCACCATCACCTGCACCACCATCAACACAGCCTATCAACGTTGTCACGATCCCACCCGCGACAGCCTCCTTAGAACCTCCCACAAACAACTCTCGATCAATTTCCTGGAGCCTGAAACATCAACCACACATTTCCATTCCCGGTTCAATTTTGTTCCTGACATCTTCAACCACTGTCACCATCAGATCCAACAAAACCACTCCATCGCCATCTTTGTCGCCACTACCACGGCGCTGTGACCAACACCAACCAACCACCACAACCATGGCACCACTACCACCTCCACGCCACTACCACTACCACCAACACAAAACACAACAGACAAACCTAATTTCTCAGAAGCATCACATGTAACCGTTGTTGCAAAAAGCAGAGTCTCGATGCCGGGCTCTCGTTGTCGCAAATGGCAGTGCAATGTTATTGCGATAACCTGAAAATCGGGATAGTCAGATAGAGCACCGTCGATAGAGAGAAGATAACTCGTCGCTTCTAGAAATCGAGAGAAGGAGAAGAGGATAGTGCCGCCAGTAAAGAGAAGGTATGGAGA